TGAATTAATGATACCATAAACGTCAGATTGACCTATGATAATGCTGTATTTTCTACAATAGTGTTGTGTTGGGATATTATAATTAAATGTCCACCTGAATTATTGTTTTTTTAATGCAGAAAATATCTTTTTTATTAAATGAAAAATTACACGCTGCATATCAACATAACACATGGAGATATACAGGAGAAAATAAGTTTTGCTAACCATTGCAACTGGTAATGGATGGTTAGAATTTTGAGAAATTATAATGTAGTTTTTTACGTAAAACGATTATAATTAACATAATAATAATAATAATAATAATAATAATAATAATAATAATAATAGTTATTATTATTATTTATCTCACCTTTTATATAAAGCGCTTGCAATGATCGCAGATTCTCAACATCTTTTAATTTTGAAACCATTCATAATATTGAATCTGTGATGGAGACTTGAACTGTTTCTGTGGATACGAGGTGATATTTAGTAGAAAGAGTATATTTCTAGTTACGTAGGTAGTTGGGCGTCAGGAGGCATTGAAAAAGTAAACAAGCAGATTTATACAAATCAAATGTTCAATATTCATGGAATTAATTACATTAGTTGAGGTTTTGTAATCATAATGTGCCATGTAATTTAATGTGTAATGTAAAGTGTAATCATAAAGTGTAATCATAAAGTATGGCTGATCTTAATTCGTCAGTCAATTAAGATGTATTCTGTACATTTTAAAATGACGTTTTAACAAATTTTCATGCAAGAACGCAAGCCACAACAAAAACAATATTCTGAACGAACGCAGACTTAACATACGCGGCCGGGATCTGCAAAGAACTGTCAAGAAGATGGTTTCGTTATTTTGACGTCTTTGTGGGCAGTTTTCTTTCCACATTCCAACATCAACTCGTTTTCTTCTTTCTGTCTGGGAAATTGTTTATATGCTTATCTCGCAATTTAATATTATAAATATCAATAATTATATAGATATTACATTTTAATCAACTCAACTATCGGTATTCGGATCTTCATATTACTATTGATTTCTAGAATATCGAAAAGGAAGAAGCGGGATATTAAAAGTAGATCATCTTGTCCTGGGAGTGTTCAACAGTATTCTGTTGGGTATTTAATAAGAATTGTCTTGTATATTGTTAAAAGAGTGGGGTAGACCTGGGGGTCATCAACATGGAACCCCGTTCACCATTATCTCGATAGCGCTCTCTCCTTGGTGGAGGTTATCTCGTCAGCGCTTTCAACAGTTCATACGAATTCATTTCGTATAAGTTCGTTTTCGTCAACATTCATGTCGAATAAACAAATCTATTGGTTGAAACGATTTAATTGTCGAACCGAAAGTTGAACGATTTCAAATAATTTTTACAAAACATCATGAATGAGATATGTTAATTTGGAGAGAAATGGTGGTGTAAATAGTATTACATAATCATTGTTAATGTCGGGAAAGTACGTTCTGTTTTAGCATTACTTTCAGTATTTCTTTCATGTTACATTTAAATCGTATTTTTAAGAGAGAAAACCTAATTGGACTAGTTTTAATTAAGGGATGCGGTATGCTTGACAGAAAATACACCAATAGAGTAATAATATAAATTCACTAGCGAAACTGAGCGAGAACTCTGACGTTAAATTTCGCCCTCTTTCCTACATTTCCTTTTCCATATTCAGAGATGGGAAGTTGTTAACGAAACATATTTCTTTGTTTAAGAAATTAAAAAGATAACTTACAATGTACTTATTGAATTTAAAATTAAAATAAAGAAAAATGAAATAGATGTTTGAAACAAATTTTTAATAAAGATTATTCTGTATTATAGACATGTTCTAAGAACAATTTTCAATACTTCCTTAAAAACAAAATTTGAAGTAACTATACAATCTTCCTTGTCATCTTTGCGCTTTCCTTGCACAAAAAGATTACAAAAGCTTTTAATTTTCGAGAAAGCTACGTAAAGTTGTCCGTGCGATAATGTGGGATCAAGCCCCTACTTTTTGGAGTATTATTTAACTTTATTACCGAACTGAGAGATGCACCCTCCATTTCATCGCCTAGCATATCAAGTAATTAGACTAATTTCTCATTCAGGTAAAGATTCCGCACGTCTCTAAACAGATAGGGTAGTATCAAGAATCGCTGGACCGACAAAATGTAATAAAATGTTCAAGAAGCATTTTTCCTATAGATTACGTTGTAAAGAACTATTCTTTGTGGCCTTCGCCCTCAAAATTCCAGATTTTAGGGTCCTAGAACGTTTATTCAACTAAATAGATTTTGATAATTTGAATACGTTTTGCATACTTCATTGACATGAACATTTAGATGCATTGTTTTAGCAAATCCTTCATGTTTTTAAAGTCAAAGCGCAAATCATCACTCTTTTGTGAAGTTGTTTCGTCTTTAAAGTCCTCATATAAGAAGATCACATGCGCGTGCCCACATCTCATCTATATTACTGAAATAATATTCGAGATGATTTTATGTAGTATAAACAATAAAACATGAGATGAAGTAGCAGCATCTAGACTATCATATGCTGCACCAAATATATTTGCACCAATTTCCAATTCTTAATAAATCGATCTGTTTAATAATAAATTTAACTTTCTTGAACCTAACATCTAGATATTTTAACAACCTGCTCAAAAGAGCATTTACAGTTCTAAATGTACTACAAAAATAATCTAAAATAAACTAGAAGTAGTTTTCTTGCAAATGCTTCAACTAGTGTAAGATACAAACTAATTTTTTGAATTTACTAATCATTCTAGGGAAGTATTATTTCCCAGCTTTTTCAATGCAATGCCATGTCTGAACATGCTGACTTTAAAATTTCATTTCTGTAACGAAAGTACGGACACTGGTAAAACGGAAACCATTCGTAACAAGACACAGTCTTCCCTCTTCACTGTACATAATCGTCCATTATTTGCCAATATTGTTTCCTTCGTCTTTTTGACGCAGAACTTCAAAAGATGTAAGAGCTCTCTTTCCATCAAAGTTTGATTGAGTTTCTAAGCTTTCTGATGTTGTTTTCGCAAATTTTTTCTCGAGCCTACTGCTTTCCTTTTTGGATTCACATGCAAAACACTCTGACAATTTCATGAGGATTTTATCAACGGTTTTATTCGTTAGTCTCGGTCGTCCGATAGTATATTGTAGCTCTTTTCGTGACTTTGCATCCTAGTATTAAGGAATTGCAGAGAATTTCCCTTTTATCAGAATGAAGTTCACCGACCTTCAAAGAAACGAGATCAAATAGGCAAGATATAACAATTATTTATCTTAAATGAGTTACGTGAAGTCTTTAAAATCTACCAAACGAGAAAAAATAAACAAGATTGTGAAAGAAATATAGATCGATGCTCTCATCAAATTCCACTAACTTTCTGTTTTCAAAAAAAACCTTTCTCCTCTAGAACTGTCTTTTTCGTGAATGTATATTGATTTTAATTATCAGACTTTCAAGTTTGAGGGTCGAGGGACAAAAACAAGAAAAGATTATGAATAAGAAATGACGGACTTGATGTGAAGCGGTGGACTGAGAACAAATTAAAGAATTTCAAATCGTTTTCATGAAATCTTGTTTTTGTTATTTTTTAAAATTGCACATATTTCAAACAATATTGCTCTAAAACTACTAAAAGTTTTTAAAAAATGTACATGACCTTAATGAAAGAACTAATTATTGACAACAAATTTCATTTTCAGGAAAAATCTCTATCTTCATTTTTGTAGTTGTAGGAAGACGCCGATAAAATAAATTTAAATTTCGGTTTTCAGAGTTAAATCTGAAAATTGGAATCAAGCTCCTTTATAAACGCATTTTATTTTATTATTACAAGAAAGTTAATGGAAAAAGTTTGGAGTCGATTTAGAGACATTTTTGAAAGTATCAGGGGGCTTCGTGTAAAGTACCACCAAATTTCAAAGAATATTTTTCAAAATCTCAAAGCTTCAACCTGAGCCACGTCGACAGTTGTTTCTTCAATTGGGAAAAAATCCTACATATATTTTTGATGCTAATGGTGTTCACAGACAGACGGAAGATTTGCCGCCAATTGATTTTTCTGGATCAAGGACCCACAAAACAGTGATTCTGGCTGCATAACATGTTAGAGTTTTTTCCGTAATTTTGCAACTGGATTTATTCACTTTTACTTTCCTGTATACATACTATATGAAAATTAATATACAAAGTTACGTAATTCTGTGGAAAATAGATTTCGATATTTCAATGGAAATACACATTTTGAGGTCCCCTCATACCGCAAAAGTGGTTTATTTCAAAACGTCCGTCTGCCTGTAAACACTACTAGCGCCTAAACCACACGTAAACCACACTAAACCAAAAGATTTTTTTCCCAAATGATGAAACCTCTGACCATGTTCTCGAGTTAAAATGTTGATATTTTGAAAAAAATATTCTTTAAAATTTTAAAATTACATGAAGCCCCCCGGATATTTTCAAAAATGTCTCTAAAACGACTCCAAATTGTTTACACCTCTGAAGGTGGCATAGGTTCTATATTCACGGTTAACTCTGAATTATCGAAAATTTGAAAAGGAATTATTTCGAGCGTCTTCCTACAGCTACAAAATATCGCGTATTTTATCGTTCTTATCTTCCTGAGTTCTTAATTTTTGAGAAGCAATTAACAAAAGTTTGATTAATTGTAAACTATTATCAAACAGCAATAAACCTTCTTTACTCAGTACTAATTAAATTCAGTTATTATTTTTTCTCCTTTTTCAATAGGCTATTCCACATCGAAAGATCAATGAATTATTGAGCTATTAGCATTTCTAAGTAAATATGAACTTCATATGCAAGCGAATAATAAACTTACATATCTCATTAAGGTCCTTTCAGCATATTATTCACATCAATACTGGTGGAGAATATAGGACAGTAATTTCATTCTCCGTGCGAAGATCAATAACGGGGAACTTCACTGCGTTTCTACTTTATAATATAGAACAATATATTGTGAAAATGGATTCTGTAATCATGTTCGGTACTCAGTACATATTATCAATGGCTATAATTACATTTTTTAATATAAAAGCTTTACAAACAGGAAACAGTTATGTGCATTTCACCAGGTACTGGTTTGCATTTAAGTTTTTCTACAACACGTCTGCCAATCAAATAGACTACAATAGAAAATGTTCGCAAGAAGTTGCCAAATCCGCGGATCAAGCATTCGTAATTGTTGATGGAGACAATTTAGGGAAAAATGAGGTTATGGTAAAAGACATAATCGATGTCTTATTGCCAGCACTAGCGGCGGAGGGGCGCGTGCCCGAGTTGGGCGCCCACGCCGCGCTGCTGCTGGCGGCGGCCGCGGCCCGCGCTGGCCGAAACAGCGCCGCTGCTTGCGCCTGCAGCGCTGCTTGCACGCCAGAGCCTGCGCGCGGCGGCGGGCCGGCGCGGCGGCTGGCAGCGACTGCGCTGCCAAGCCAACAGCCCGCGCCGGGGCGCTGCTGCCCGCGGACGCGGACTGGCGCGCGCCTTCTCCGCCAGCTTTGCAGCCTTTCTCTTGTGCGTGCTGCGATGGTGCTGGCGTTAGCGCGTGCGCCACCGCCGCCTGCTGGCAGCGCGCGCCGCTGCGCTTCGAACACCGCTCTTGCAGGCGCAAGTGGCTGTGTGGCGGTGGCAGTGGCTGGAGTTGCGTTGGCCGCAGGCGTGGCGCGCTGGGCGCAAGCCGGCGATGGAGCGCGGCCGCTGCGGCGCGTGGTGGCGGGCGGGGGCGGGGGCGGGGCGCTGGCGGGGCGTGCGCCCGCCGCCTGCGCCGCCCTCGCGCCGCCGCCGCCTGCGCTCAAGGGCAGACCTCACAGGTGTCACCTTTAGGGCCGTCTCTGGATTTGTAAGTGAATTATAAATGTGATCTGATTACTACTAATATGTATTATATCCTAGTCGGATCATTTACTGGTAATTTGTTTTAGTTTCGATTTGAAAGAATTGGAACTTTATCTCAACTTCGCTTTGCTGCTGATTTATTTGAAGAAATTTGGTGTTCCATGGAGGAATATTACAACTTCACGTAAGTTATACATATATGTGCGCGGTCACAAATTCAACGGAATAGCGTTGACGAATTAAGTTTCTCGTATGTAACCCCTGGAAATTAAAAAAATACAAGATTTCCGATCTTTTATTTTGTCAAATCTTTTCAAATTGATAGTTTTTTACATTCTCTCCTCTAATGTGTTTACACTTGAAAATTTAAATTCATAACATATAAGGAAATAATGAATATCACAAGGAGGCGTTCAGCGTGCGCAGGTCGAAGTATGACGTAATTAATTGTCTCTAAAAAGGTATTCATTATTTATTTATGCGGGGAAAAATTAGTTGCTGTCGCGCACTGAAAGATACTAAAAAACTTAGGAATATACCACGGGTACGTTCTGGGCACCACCTTCAGCAAAGAACAGTGTAACCACGAAAGCTCGCTAGGATCTCAACTTATTGGTTGCTTCTGAAATTCGCTGTGCGGAAAACAATAGTTAATTTCGAGAAACATTCATTTCTTGTATACTACACACTATGATTTATTTTTGTTTATTCGTGAGTTAACTCCTAGGAATTAATCTCAATCGATAGGACTATGGAATATTTTATACGATAAATCGATTATATTTTGGCAGATTACTCTATACGGCAATTAAAATGTATGAGGTGTACTTTTTAAATTAAATTCTTATTTTTAAAATTTTTTATTTTATTTAGATTTAAGTTTTAAAATGCCGACATTTTCACACAATGGAGCCTTATCGTAAGTACCCATTGAAAACGTATAATACGAGTATGTGTCGTATTCAGTGAGGCGGCTTTCAGCTTCTTCGAAGGCGATGATTGAATATAATTATTTAAATCAACCAAGTTTTGGATTCCAAGTCGCTCAGAGCCGTCTTATCAATCCAAACTATGATTGTCACAGTTTTTTCGAGCTAATTGATTAGGTGAAGACAGCATGAATTATAATATGAATTTGGTATTATTGTTTGCCGGGATGTTCAACAATGCACTGAACAGAACATATCTTCATCTATCATACATTGATGTGCTTCTGTCAAAATAAAGATTGGAAAAAAATTAGTTATAGTTCGAAGTCGCGGACACACTTTAGCGTCGTGTTTCTGTTTCTCGATGTCGAAGTATTACTCACGCAACTTTTCTTGAACGATGGATTGAAAAATGCGGCTAGGGAGGGGGTATTAGTTACGAAATCGGCCACTAGATTTTTTGACTCAATGCCAGTCTCTGGAGAATCAGTCATGCCTTGGCAACGTTATCAATAATTTGCGTTCGATCTTTCTAAGTAGTTCGAGGTATCTGCTGTGATAGATATTTACTTACTTCGGTCATTTCGTTCGATTATTGAGAGAAAATCGCGGACAGCAGTTCTTGTCTTCAACAGAAAATAGTTTGTATTTCGCGTCAGTGAAGGTGTGTTTGAAATGTCACCAGTGATCGCTGCAAGCTATTGCATTCTACTATTAATTGTATAGGAGAGGGGGAAGCAAGGTCGACGTTGAAGAAAAGTTGCACGATTAATGCTAATGCCCGGAAGTTCTTTGCCGCGTGGCATTGCGCGCTTGTCAAAGGCGTGAGCAATGCCATTGACGTCGTGTTTCGCTGCCCTGAATAGGCTAAAGGGCTCGTGCCCTCAAGGGTGCTTGTTCCCTAGGCGGGCATTCTCTTACAGTAAGAAAGGCTGCACATAACGCGCGTGAACGACGTTTTGCGCTGTGAAAATGTGGAACCTCCGTACTTTTACAGTATCTTTCAATGAGAGACGGCAGCTAGTTTTTTTACAGCACAGAGAAATGGTGGATATCTATCTATTCGAAATATGCTTGGACCAGATTTTGACTGCACGTTTTGACAGTTTCCTTGTCAGAAATAACCTTAAATTAATAAAAGGGAAACTAAATAGTTTTTTACAATTGACAGGACGATTTGGATATCTCGCAACTATACCGAGTTCGGCATTAAATTGTCTAATGGCAGCTGGGGTGATGTCATCGGGACATTGATGGATGGAGGCAGTGATGTTGGGATAGGAGACGTATCATTTACTAGGCTTCGGAAGGAAGTAGTTGACTTCCTAGATCCTGTCTTTAACCCAAGGTAAGAATTCAAAACCAAGTTATAATCTGATCATGTTTATTTGTATTTAACGGGAAATATAAAAATATGCAAATGTTAGTGTGTAAAAACAATTTTAAATTTTAGAGTAATGAAGTTACAGTAAGATTGTATTCATTTTAATATTATTTTCACATATGAGAAGACTTTTTAATGTTTATGTTTTAACCATAATTTTCTCCTTGAGTGTAAAGTTCACCAAGCGGATTAAGAGAGAATGAGATTATTTTCTGGTACACATGCACTAATTGACGATTGTAATTATCAGCAAAATCTAGTGAGTGATATTTAAAATTATGAAACATTTTTACGGTTTTTGACCTTTCTTCACTCCTCGTCTGTAAATTCTCTGGTAGCTTAGACACAGTTCGAAAAACACGCAAGATACAGGGAGAAACTAATTTTATGTTACCCGACAATTGAATCGAGGAGTAAGAAGGAGTGATCAAATAAAAGTTGCCTGCACATTGGAAGTATTAACTGCAACTAAATTCACAAATTCTGGACGACGTGATTCCTACTTACGTGATTTTATCTAATGACTTATTACAAAAAATGCAAAGAAACTACATACGTTTTTAAAGACCGTGGAGTTAATTTCTAAAAGTAATAAACACTCCCAATGTATTCGGTGACTACTTCCTCACAATGGAGTAATTTTGCTATGTCTCAACTGTCAGTTGCAGCCTTACAGAACGCCTGAAATTTTATAAAGGAATGCCTTGTTCAGCAACCTGTTCAATGCGAGGTGACATTTGCAGCCACGCTAGTGTCACATTATGGTGATGCGATAAAATTATATAATTAGAAAAACATTGGTTCAGCATCGGTGTAGCACTTGTGCGTTGTATGAAAAAAAACTGGGAAAGTATGGAATGACAGATAATTTAAGTCGCAGTTGACAAACACCGAAATTACACGGCCACATGTTTCGCAACAGATATGCTAAACTTACGAACAACTCACTTGGGATCGTTGAACTAAGTACCTAAAAATATGACTAAAATAGTTTGAAGAAGTTTTGTGCGTCGTGGTGACGAATTACGTTGTTGGGAACAGATATATTGAAGAAATGTATTACAAATTGCACGAAAACCATGACGGCGTGACGCCACTTTAGCCGACGGGCAGGGAGCGGCTCAGGGCATCAAATAATGTCCCTACAGTTTCTCTGACTAGGCGGTCCTGGAGCTCCGACAGTGGCAGAATTTTTGACATAGCGAGGTCGAATTCAGCCGCTGTCTGAAGGAGAATTGTAGCGCCCGGCAGCTCCAATCGGTAGCTTTCGGCGATTTCTCCGATCAACACAAAGCGAATGTCGGAGCCGTACCCGAACGAAAATGCCATGGACAGCGCGCGATCTTTTTTTCCTCTTCCTTGTCCTTCTCTCATCCCTGACTTACACACACTTGCACTACCACTTTTGTCAGGAGCCCAGTCGCTAGCTTAGAGCGTGTCCCCGCCGACGTAGCTCAGCGTGGGATCTCGGCATACAGCGGAGCAAAATCACCGCCACCTCCCGCGAAACAAAACATTCACTTCACTTACGGACAATGATCTTTGCCGTTGATGCGCCAGGAATCACTAATCAACCAATTAATCAATCAACCAACCGACGGGTAGGACACTGCCTCCCGACCTTGCAGCTGACTCACGATTCTACTCCATTTTAAACGCAGTGGCACTGGACGGTCATGAGCTGTCAGGAGAGGGGAACAGTCATCAAATCACGAGCTTATTGTGCGATTTTCCTAACCGTGCCCCTGGCAAGTATCGGCTGTTACGGTTTTATCTAAACAGGAGCTTCAACGTCATCAGAGTGACGTCACAGTACTGACAAGTAGGTTTCCAATTGGATGAATCTGTGAACAGCTGATATCTGCCAGGGGCACGGTTAGAAAAATTGCTCTATGGTTAGGCTTAAATTTTTGACATTAAACCTTCAGACCGGATAACAGTGTCCACTCTCTTCTCAACTTGTGATCTTTAATGGACTTTCAGTTATAATCGTTTAATGGACGCCACGTTATACAAGGTTGCGTAACTACATTACTGGTGGTAAAGTGCTCTCGGAAAGCATCAAAACATCGTTTGTTACATTTACTCTCTCACTTACTACTTGCGAAGTGTGGAGAATGTTTTGTAATACAGCAGAAGAAAACGAATATTTTCGACAGAAAATTCTTATTGCCGGGCCGTAATAACGAACATTTTTATGAATAATGCCTCTTATGTAATAAATTACTTCCTCTAAAACATCGTGCCGTCAGAATACACATTAGGTGAGTTCTTGATACCAAAAAATCGATATACCACTAAAGATCTGTCTGACCGTTTGTCCAAGGTCAACGGTAGCACCTAAACCATTCAGCCGATTTTCTCCAAAATTGATATTTCTCAACCTATCTGACTGATGTCGCCACACCTTGAATTTGAATCGGAAATTTTATGACTTTTGGGGATACTTTACATACTACATAGTATTACATACTGTCTCAACATAATACACACTGTCTCGAAGTTTTCTCAAAAATGGCTCAAAATTTTTTCTTTAAATTTTCCCCTGATAGAGCAAAATATGCTCAAAGATATTGCGTATGTCGCATTTTTGATACAATTTCTGAATTTTAGAAAATCGCGAAATTTAAAAAATGATCAATAGAGTTCAATTACATTTCTGGGCCCACCTTTGTTTTAAACTTTATTCACATGTAACATATTTTACAACATGTAACATATTAGTAAATAAATAAAACATTACAAGGAACAGGATAGTATCATTTTAATTGTACAGCAAATAAATACAGCATTTACACGGTTGTCAGATTGAAGATTCTTCTCCAAATGTACAACAGTTTCACCAAATTGTCAGGACGCATTCCCCGCCCCTGTGAACATATTAAAAATATCCGCACGTTTAACCAGCTTCAAAAGATTATTTTATTGTAATATTCTCAAAAATACATATATTTTCCCCACGTGTGGTGGAGGGTTGCTAAATTCTATGACCGCCCTAGCTAGTCTAAACCAAATCCTCTGCAGTTTCGGGAAGTTCCGTAGAAATATTTGCCATAGAAGTTGCAAAAATGGGACCCACATGTAGTTCACGGACGTATTAATACCATCGTGTGTTACGTTTTGTGAATGGCATATGGCTCACAGGACAGTGAACGTGTTAAAACGGGAAAGCAAGAATTTAACATTTTTATAGTAATAGATTGTTGGGTTAAGGGGCCCCTTTCAATATTTTTATGGGGACACTGCCCTCCTGGCTCCAATGTGCGCACGCCCATGGAAAAAGGCTGGGAAAGACGTCATCTGTGACGCGTTGTCTAAGGTAGGGCTACTCACATGCAAGATTTATACTTCTCACAAGCACTCACATTTCATTAGACTAGACATGAAATCCTTAAGTTTCCACCTTTGGTCTGATTCGACAAGAAGCGGGTCACACCCTTTTTCCTGCAATTAAACGCTGGGCCAAGACACGCCAAGTGGGCCGCTCACTTGAGTAATCCTAGTTTAAGGAACTAATCTGATAACTATCTGGAAATTAGATCTGTCTCCAGAGTTCTCTTATAGACTGTAGAATTGCCACAATCCTGTGACCAATCTGGGGTAGATTATCCGCCACCGTCTACAGAGAGGTCATTCGGTCACAAAGGTCATTCGGTTGAAAGAGATTCAGTTGCATGTGCCTGTGCACTTCTTAATTCCTTTCATAGTTTGTAAAAGAAGTAACCCGTAGAAAATACTAAATAAATTCTACTTAAGAAAAAAAATTAATTTCAATATCTGAATGAAATCTTGAAGGTAGGATCTCTTCAGATAGAGCAGCCGGCCGCTAGAATTCTCCTCCATGCAGCGACTGAACACGGTTTAGCTATGCAGCTAGGGTCAAAAATCATTTTGGCACTGAAACCATGGACCTCCCGGTCAGAGGTACTGCAGTAACATCAGTTGATCCCCTGAGCCACCTTTGTCGGTCCGCCGTAGAACAATACAACACGACCTGACGAAACGTGCATGAAGGACATTTACTCGAAAGCATGCGACGGCCATGCGGACGGCCATGCGGACGGCCATGCGGACGGCCATGCGGACGGCCATGCGGACGGCCA